AACTTGCTCCCTTGAGGAATACGCCAGCTGTCGTATTTCACCTCTTGTGATTGTTATAATCTACCAACTTCAAAATGACTCTTCCTCATATAATGGGGCATCTGAGTTTACTGCCTTCCTTTTTAAAATATATACATACAATGGAAATTTTCAAACAGATTAAAGTAGAAATCATAGTATAACAAACTCTTACCCAGCTTCAACAGTAACCAATATGTTGTATCAAACTTGTTCATTTTCACTACCTCCTCCATTAATTATACTCCTTCCTCCTGACCTCAACTTTTTCCTTCAATCTCCCCCTCTGTCCTCATTATCAATTTTTAAAAGTTCTTATCCTTAAAATAAAGTACCTACCAAAATCCCTTCCCCCTTGAATCCACGTCTCACTCTAGCTACTACTATGCTCTTTCCCTTAACTTGATGTCTTTACTTTCTCAGCAAATATTTCAGCTTTCCAGGAATACCTAATGTCTCATCACTTAAGTGAAACTGCTCTTTCATGGATCGGCACTTTTTTATTTAATCCCCCCAGAAATATGTGACAGTGTTGATGACTTTCTCTTATAAAAACTCTTCCTTTGTCTTCCATAACACTATACCCCTTAATTTGTTCTCTTTTGGCTGATTCTTCAGGTATCCTTCTGGCTAGAGTCTTTTACCTATCCTGTAGAAATTTGTGTTTTTCACAGGTCTTTCATCTAGGCACTCATTAAATCCCATGGTTTTATTTGTCATCTATATATAGCTTCTATATCTCCAGTTATGGCTCAGTTCTTCTTGTACTTAGCTTCATACCAACATATACACCTACTTACCAGATTATCTTTGGCTGAATATACTACAAGCATCTCCAGATCAATACATTTAAAGACGAACTCATCATCCTTCTCCTACAAAATGTAACCCCCTGTGACAGTATCCCCATCCATCTAGTTATCCAAGTTTTTTTTAATCCTTCTTCTTTTTTAACTACAGGTCACCAAGTTTGCTGAATTCTACCTGTTCAAGTTTTTCTGGAATCTATCCATTTCCATCCATCCCCATTATTCCTTCCCAAAACCATGCCACTATATTGATTTCTCACCTAGATTATTACAAAAAGCCTCCTGATGCCCACTGGTCTTTTCCCTTTTTAATCCATTCTTCCCACTATGTATTATTAAATCCACTCTTCCTACCAGGGGATCTTTTACACAAATGTGTTTCCCAGCACCTAGTATTTATCTGGCACATAGTTAAGTTCTCAATATTCACTGAATTGATGTTACCTCTTACTTATAATCTTTCTTTGGCTCTACACTGC